TTAAAAGGTTGCAAAAAAAGTAAGTCCTCCATTTGTTTATTTTTATAGTTTTTATGGCATTTCAAAGGAAAAGGGAAAAAAAAAAAACGGGGGATGTAAGAAAAATGGCAAGGCCCGGGGACAGGGAGCCGGGGGGGGGGGGGGAATGTGTGTGTATATGTGTGTGGGTTTGTTTCGGACGGCTGGAGTAAGGATATTTTACAATTATTCTTTGAAATCGAGGTGAATAGTGGCTAAATATTGCAGCGAGATAAATATTCCTAAAGCCACTATTCACCGAGATTGAAAAGAAAAATTGTTTTAGTATATACAAACGAAGTGATCTAAACAAAATCAGAGAGGAAACCATTAAAAAGTACGATTTGATTGACGGATAAAATCACGCGAAAGTTTAAAAATATTTTTTTGCAGAATTTCCGTAGCCTCCTTGGCATATTTGTGACAAAACTAGCGCACGCATTCTGGAGCCGTTGAAAGCGTTTTACTTGATAAGCTGGTAATTGATTAAAACAATACCGGCACTATCTAGTTTTGAAAGAACAAGTCTCTCCAAGCCCCCGCTGTCGCTTTGCTCGCCGATCTGATTTTTTCGCGTTTGACTCCGTTTTTTGTTTTTTTCTCCCATTGCGGAGCCTGGTCCGAGGCTAGTTGTTTCCTCACATTGTAAGGAGCTAGAAAATTCAGCTTTCTCAATGCAGCGAAGGTCCCCAAGCATGATGCAAGAGTTTTGGTGATATGTTTAATGTTCACTCCATGTCATGTGTTTGCAAAATGCTCTCTTAACAGTTTAGTGGTTTGAGCGCCTTCCAGAGGCACTCCTTAACTCTCCTTGGCATTTGACCGGGAGCGAACGGTTGCTTTAGCTGTCGCTCGTAGACGTTTGCCTTGTTGATACTGTTAGCATCCATTTGGTCTTCGAGGCAATTAGCGCGTAGTTACAGTCTGAATAGAGTAGTTCTCAAGGGCGTGTTATAGCACAATTCAGTTCAGTGATACCTTCGTCCAATTCACAGAATTTCGAATGAAGATAGAGAGTTGTATCATCGGCATATTGAAAACAGGGGCATTGAAGATGTTTTTACATTATGATAATTACAATCTGTCGATGATGTTAGCGCGATAGGTTTCTGCTATACTTGGTTGAAACTTAGACTTCCTAAGATGATCTTTTATTGTTGGTAGTTAAAATGTGCTATATTATATTCTAGCTATTAATTTAACTGACTGTACCCCTTTTTTGTTGTCTTCTAACTAACTAGACGGACTTTTAACTGTTTTCTATAATTGCAATATCGTGTTTTTAATGTGGTTAATGTAAATCACTCTTCACAGGGTGAAAGAGAAGCCTTGCAGTGCCACAGAGCCAACTACCGCTTTGAAAATTAATCGCAAACATCAGGCTTGTGTAAGCATCAGATTGAAGTCCCCGCGAGGTCTGCCTTTGGCATATGACGATCTAGTACACTTGAAGTTCTCAAAGAGTTCTCAGAAGAGGCGCTCGGTGCTGTAGGATTTTATAGCTGGCGTGATTACCGAGTCTTAATGTCTAAAACGTTTTGTTAAGGTAAAACCATGGCGATAGGCCTTGTTCAAACAAGGTTGGTACAGAGTCTTGAATTCCTGAAAAAGTCTTGAAATTTGCCTAGTAATTTTCCAGACCTGGAAAAAGTCTGGAAAATGGAGATAAAGTCTGGAAAAGTGCTAAAAAGTCTTGATTTCTTTCAAGTTACAGCAAGTGCTTTATAAGTAGAATTGTTTTCTATTGGTCAAATCTTATTCTATCTCGCCTGTACGTTTGCAGCGCACCATGAAAAAAGCTTTGTTCCTGCGGTTTTTTTAAGTCTCTATTTATTGACTATTTGATCACCTTGAGTGTGGAAAAGGAAGCATTGTTTTGGAAAAAAAGTCTGGAAAAAGTCTTGAATTTTGGGTCCAAAAATCTGTACGAACCCTGTTCAAATTTAAATTTAAATGTTTGTTATTGCCCTTAATGTAGTTCATGTGACAACCTATTATAGGAAAGTGTCCAGAACTGTATAACAGTTGTGCCCGCGTGCACTCTCTAATTCCAAGAATCCCCGGAGATTATCACATGATCTACAACGAGAGAAACAGCTAAACCTAGTGAGTAAGGTTTATTTCAGAATAACCAGGATAATGCTCCAGTTTCGTTTTAGGATAGTGTAGTGTAGGTTAGAAACGGTGGTGCTTCGTCGTCTCGGTGGGAGCGCTTTTTTGTTTTTACCGTATCAACTCAAATAATGAAGAAGAATATTTTTGTGGTTCGTTTTAGGATAGTGTAGGTGTCATAATAAGGTTACTGAACAGAAGCCGTTTTTTGTATTTTTGCATCCCTCTGAAAATATCACTCCTCCCCACTTGGCAAAGGAATAATATTGTCCTTATTTGTTTTCACTAGAAACTTTCCTTTCTACTCATGATTGAGCATTTTAGTAATTAGTTTTGCACAATGGATGCTATTTATTTTGTTAGAAACAAGGTCATGGTGGGATCCAGTCTACCAGACAACCACAAGGGAATGATAATATTCTCACAACAGTGGCAAGTGAGGCAATGTTGATCCGTCACAAGTTGTTACAAACTATACCGCGTGAGGAAATATTGGAGCAGACAAAAAGCGTACTCAAGCTTACCATTGGGTCAGAACTGGGCGAAGGCAGTTTCGGTAAAGTATATCAGGGAACAGCCCAGGTGGCCCTGAAGATACCAAAAGAAAGGGGTCGATCAGATTTTATAAATGAAGTAAAAATTTTAAGTTGTTTGAACCATCAAAACATTGTAGCCTTTCTAGGAAATAAAAAAGGAGCAATGGTGATGGAGAGGATGGATGAGGATCTCCATCATCTTATTGAAAGAAAAGGTGCTAGTCTAAGGATTGACTCCATAATGGGGTTTGGTTTAGGTCTTGCCTATGGACTGCAGTATCTGCAACAACTGGGAATTCTTCATCTGGACTTAAAGAGTAAAAACGTCTTGATAAATAATAACCCAGAAATTGCCAAATTAAGCGACTTTGGCTTGTCAAAAGTAGTAACGGAAGATAACGTGGGACATGAAGTTCTGCACTATGATGGGCAGTTATATGATAGCAATTCTATCTTCCCTGAGTCGCTTAAGGTGAGCAAGAGCGGTATTTTTCTTCCCTGCGTTAATTTTTTACTTAGTGGTTTCGTTACAGGATTACTTGAATTAAATGCTTGCTTTCACACGTTATTGAAGCTGTAGTTAGGTACTAGGTAGATAGGTAGCTTATGACCAACTACACATACGCAACAGACAAGGGAATGCGAATGACTTTGTAAACGCTAAAAGCCATGCAAGAGAGAAACCTCTGCTCATAGACAGAGAACAGCAAAAAGCAAATAAAGAAAACTGAACTTAATCTATGATACTTTCTCTCCTCGCAATCAATATTATCACTTAATGTTTATGTTTAATGTTGGTGGTAAAGAGCTTTATGGTCTTTTAGCTCAAGGGTACTGTTATAACTTTAGAGAATTTTGCTCTCTCATCACGCTTTTGCCTTTCCCTCCCACTGTGGAGCCTGGTCCCAGACTATTATAACATTAACTGTTCCTTTCTGTTTTACAGTTTTTGTAAACCATTTTACTACTGTTTATTTCAGACGGATATTTGGAACGTAGGTTGGGTTATTTTTGAAATGGCGGTATGTCGATCGCCAGATCTTGGGAAACTGTCTTGTCTGGTTAAACAATCGAGTGGAAGATTTCCAGACCTTGATGAGTTGGTGACAAAGTGCACCCGTGAGATTGTTCCAGGTGGTCGCCGTGAAGTGTTTAAAAAATTCCCAGACCTGAAAGAGCTGGTTACTAATTGCATCCAGTTCTTTCCAGCTAGTCGCCCTACAATATTCCAAGTGATAAACATCCTGAAAGAATATTTTATGTCTCCCTAAAAGTAAGTCCTCCAGTTTGTTATTATCATAGCCTTTATTGAATGCGATTTAATTAACTGGGCATATGCATGTAAATGGCAAGGTACAGGAACCGGGAAGCTCGGTGTGCTGTGTGTGTGTGTGTGTGTGTGTGTGTGTGTGTGTAGTGTGTGTGTGTGGGTTTGTTTGGGACAGGGGAAGGGGGGTAAGGCTACAAAAGGATACCAATTCTGTCGAGATGAAGGATAATTTAACTAGATTTACAACTGTTGCTCTGCTCTTTGAAAGGTTCTATCTACAAAGCCCCTGTTTTAAGGTGCAAAATGTTATCCAAAGCACATATCTTTGAGGCGAATAGCGCTAAGTTAAAGTCAATAGAGTCGTTCTCAAGACGTGTTATAGCACAATTCAGTTCGGTGATACGTTCGTCTAAATCACAGAATTTTGAATGAAGATAGAGAGTTGTATCATCGGCATATTAAAAACAGGGGCATTGAAGATGTTGTTACATTATGATAATTGCAATTTGTCAATGATGTTAGCGCTATAAGTTTCTGCAGCTATACTTGGTTGAAACTTACACTTCCTAAGATGATCTTTCATCGTTGGTAGTTGAAATGTGTGACAAACAAGAGCCATTATGGCTCTTGGTGACAAATGATAGTACATTCTAGCAATTTAATTTAACTGACTGTACCCCTTTTTTGCTGTCTTCTGACTAACTAGACAGACTTTTAACTGTTTTCTATAATTGCAATATCGTGTTTTTAATGTGGTTAATGTAAATTACTCTTCATAGGGTGAAAGAGAAGTCTTGCAGTGCCATATAGCCAACTACCGCTTTGATAATTAATCTCAAACACCAGGCTTGTGTAAGCATCAGATTGAAGTCCCCGCGAGGTCCGTCTTTGACATATGAGGATCTAACACACTTGAAGTTCTCAAAGAGTTCTCAGAAGAGGCGCTTGGTACCGTAGGATTTTATGGCTGGCATGATTACCGAGTCTTAATGTCTAAAAAGTTTTGTTAAGGTAAAACCATGGCGATAGGCCTTGTTCAAACAGGGTTGGTACAGAGTCTTGAATTCCTGAAAAAGTCTTGAAATTAGCCTAGTAATTTTCCAGACCTGGAAAAAGTCTGGAAAATGGAGATTAAGTCTGGAAAAATGCTAAAAAGTCTTGATTTCTTTCAAGTTACAGCAAGTGCTTTATAAGTAGAATTGTTTTCTGTTGGTAAAATCTTATTCAATATCGCCTGCAGCGCACCATAAAAAAGCTTTGTTCCAGCGGTTTTTTTTAAGTCTCTATTTATTGACCATTTGATAACCTTGAGTCTGGAAAAAGAAAGCATTGTTTTGGAAAAAAGTCTGGAAAAAGTCTTGAATTTTGGGTCCAAAAATCTGTACGAACTCTGTTCAAATTTAAATTTAAATGTTTGTTATTGCCCTTAATGCAGTTCATGTGACAACCTATTATAGGGAAGTGTCCAGAACTGTATAACAGTTGTGCTCGCGTGCACTCTCTAATTCCAAGAATCCCCTGAGATTATCACATGATCTACAACGAGAGAAACAGCTAAACCTAGTGAGTAAGGTTTATTTTAGAATAACCAGGACAATGTGTTATCTTAGGTTAGAAACGGTGGTGCTTCGTCGTCTCGGTGGGAGCGTTTTTTTGTTTTTACCGTATCAACTCAAATAATGAAGAAGAATATTTTTGTGGTTCGTTTTAGGATAGTGTAGGTGTCATAATAAGGTTACTGAACAGAAGCCGTTTTTTGTATTTTTGCAGAGTTTATATTTTCTTGTATTTAAATTGTTTTTTTTTTGTTTAATTTGTATTTTTCTAAAACTTTACATACGGTATCCCTTTCTTTTTTACAAAGCATTCCTTTTTGCACCCATTTTTATAGTTTTCTACTCGAAAAATAACCATATCAAGGGAGAACTGTGTTATGGAGTGTTATAAAAACAAAATGCAAGTTCTTGTTATTACTTCGGCCAATTATAAGCGTGCTGATAATTAAATAAGCCAAGCAGTTCTCGAGGGAAGTACGTCTAGCTGGCGCCTAGCGTACGGGACTTACGGGAGGGGTAGGTGGCAGTTTCCCAGATACATACCCCCCACAACAAATTCTAATCGATTAAAGAATAATTGGAATTAATTGGATGTCCAAATTTATTGTCATATGTTTTATCAATTGCCCGGGTAATTGGTCATTTTCACGATGACGTCATATAACAAAAGTACCAGAATTTATTTTGTTTTCGCATTCTTGTTTTAATTTGTCAATCCTGCTGAGGTTTCAAGAAAAATGGCTGAAATTTGCACAAGAAAACAGCAGACTAACGGATTTGGTAGTTGAATGTATTAAAATGCTGCTATCGTGTAATTGTCTTATTGAAAATCACTGCATTAGGGGGTAAATTTGAATACAGCATGAAAGTTTTCCTGATAGTGTATCATTATTGTATAGTGTAAGTAGGTGGTATGATCGTGTGGGTCAGTGTAGTCCTGAAAAGGACTGATGTAGACAGTGACTGACATTTCGATAACGTGTGCAGTAGTCATCTTCAGAGTCAAAGAGAGTTTTCTTACGTCGGTCGATGGTATTAAATGTTCGTTATTGAACTGATTGGTCAATTAAGTCGTGATGTCATTAATATTTGTTGTCTTTCAGTTAAGCCGTGATGTTATTAGGTTTGAGGACTCTTAATATGATTTGTGCGTTTGATGTGTTTAATACCATCAACTTACGCGATGCAACTCACTTTGATTCTGAAGATGACTACCGCACAGGTTGTCGAAACGTCAGTCACTGTCAGCAACAGTCCTATTCAGGACTACGCTCTTCCGGACGATTATGTTCCGCGTACTTAGAAATTATGAAATGACTCGTGAGTTTAAACCATTCACTGTTGTACAGTGTAGTAAGTATGTATATACTCGTGGATCAACCAATTAGACGAAATACCGTACATGATCTAATAGACACCCTCTCTCAAATTAACGCCTCTTACGCTGTTGTGTTTTTACCAGATTCCTCTCTCCAACAAACGCCCCCTGTCTAACAGACACCCCTCTCGACAATTGCTCCAAATGCTAAAAATTGATAGCGAAACAGAGCAAAATCACCCAAGTTATTCAGTTTCTCGCTTGATTTAAAGTTTACGCATTACCTCTTGTTCAATGGATGGACTGGATAGTCTGTTATTTGTTAACTGTGGTGATATGTTTGCCGAAAGCATCTGAGTTTTCTGAAGTTTGTAATAGTTATCAAAATAACCGACTCTCTCTCTTTGGAACGCCTACTATGTATTCAAACGCCACCGCTGGGGCTCCTAAAATTAAATAAACGCCCCGGGAGAGTCTATTAGATCATTTATGGTACCCGTCTTAGACGGATTCGTCTCTAATTCTATATATTCGTCATTAAGACGAAGGAGTCTATTGCGTTTATTTATAAAGTTGCTGATGCGTAGCATCGAAATTAAGATTTTACTTTATACAATGTATAAAAGTTCGGTTTTGTACTCCATGGCCCAGTGTTTGGAAGGCCGACTATCGCCAACCTTGGGTCAAATTTTAATCCGCGTTGCCGTTTGTTTGTTTATTTGTTTACTTTTTTTAGCAAATATAAAATTGGAGGCAAAGAAAATTGACAGGAATTTGCTTTGTAAGCATTGAACGTATCCACCGTAGTGGAGAAAACTATCTGATTTAACAGTTTACGTATGTCAGGTTAGTCAGTAGATATTTTAAGTCAGTTTGTGTCAACATAGTTTTTGTGCACTAGGTGTAGAAAATAAATGGTATATTATACTAAATTTTAACACTCACATATCTGAGGCTAATTTGGATGGACCATTCTTAAATCAAAGCATAAAAATATTAGATAATTTTAGGTGTTCATATAGTCATAGCTATTTTTTATATAAGATTTCTAAATAAAAGGAAATTATTTACTTTAGTTTGGAGCATCTTGTGTTTTATTGGACTTTTATTCTAACTATCCAACTTTCTGCCAATGTTTCACTACTAATTCAGTTTCTTAGTTGCCTTCCAAAACATTTCATTGGAGAGCTTTAAGTAAGCAACCGGGAATGCGACGGCTGCAAGAACTTCAGTTAAAAAAAACGAGTTCGCGCTTTTACAACTTTTATCATTGTCACTCCATCTCTTTCAATTTGCAATTGTTGTCGCATTATTGCAAAACTAAAACTATCAAAGGTAATGTTTTTCACTGATAACATTTTTATTTAGGGAAGGCTTTAAATCCCATATCAATAGTCTCCTGTATCGTACAATGGGTGTCCAACCGTTCTCTTGCCAAAAAAATAAAATGATCCGATTTTAAGTCNTGTTCAATGGATGGACTGGATAGTCTGTTATTTGTTAACTGTGGTGATATGTTTGCCGAAAGCATCTGAGTTTTCTGAAGTTTGTAATAGTTATCAAAATAACCGACTCTCTCTCTTTGGAACGCCTACTATGTATTCAAACGCCACCGCTGGGGCTCCTAAAATTAAATAAACGCCCCGGGAGAGTCTATTAGATCATTTATGGTACCCGTCTTAGACGGATTCGTCTCTAATTCTATATATTCGTCATTAAGACGAAGGAGTCTATTGCGTTTATTTATAAAGTTGCTGATGCGTAGCATCGAAATTAAGATTTTACTTTATACAATGTATAAAAGTTCGGTTTTGTACTCCATGGCCCAGTGTTTGGAAGGCCGACTATCGCCAACCTTGGGTCAAATTTTAATCCGCGTTGCCGTTTGTTTGTTTATTTGTTTACTTTTTTTAGCAAATATAAAATTGGAGGCAAAGAAAATTGACAGGAATTTGCTTTGTAAGCATTGAACGTATCCACCGTAGTGGAGAAAACTATCTGATTTAACAGTTTACGTATGTCAGGTTAGTCAATAGATATTTTAAGTCAGTTTGTGTCAACATAGTTTTTGTGCACTAGGTGTAGAAAATAAATGGTATATTATACTAAATTTTAACACTCACATATCTGAGGCTAATTTGGATGGACCATTCTTAAATCAAAGCATAAAAATATTAGATAATTTTAGGTGTTCATATAGTCATAGCTATTTTTTATATAAGATTTCTAAATAAAAGGAAATTATTTACTTTAGTTTGGAGCATCTTGTGTTTTATTGGACTTTTATTCTAACTATCCAACTTTCTGCCAATGTTTCACTACTAATTCAGTTTCTTAGTTGCCTTCCAAAACATTTCATTGGAGAGCTTTAAGTAAGCAACCGGGAATGCGACGGCTGCAAGAACTTCAGTTAAAAAAAACGAGTTCGCGCTTTTACAACTTTTATCATTGTCACTCCATCTCTTTCAATTTGCAATTGTTGTCGCATTATTGCAAAACTAAAACTATCAAAGGTAATGTTTTTCACTGATAACATTTTTATTTAGGGAAGGCTTTAAATCCCATATCAATAGTCTCCTGTATCGTACAATGGGTGTCCAACCGTTCTCTTGCCAAAAAAATAAAATGATCCGATTTTAAGTCGTGACCAGGTACTGAAAAAAATAATGATGATGATGATGATGATGATGGTGGTGGTGGTCGTGGTGGTGGTGGTGGTGGTGATGGTGATGATGATGATGATGATGGTGATAATGGTGATGATGATGCTCCACGGCAAATACCCACAGCTGGTGAAACAGGCTGACGTGGACCACGACAAGACCCAGAGATGGCTAAAAAGAGCTGGCCTCAAGGCAGAAACTGAGGGATCAATCATCGCTGCCCAAGATCAAAGCCTTCCAACACGCTGGTACCACCACGACATGCTCAAGAAGCCTTATGTGGACCCAAAATGCAGACTGTGCGGCCGTTTCGGAGAGACCATTGACCATCTGGTCTCTGGCTGCCCTGAACTGGCTAAAATTTAATACATACACCGCCACAACAAGGCAACTGCGCACATGCACTGGAAGATTTGCAAAGAGTTTGGTATTGAGGTGAAGGAACGATGGTATGAGCATGAACCCAAGGCTGTCACTGAGAATGACAGCGTCACCTTTCTGTGGGACATGTCCATCCCCACTGACAGGACCATCGCAGCTAAAAGGCCGGACACCCGGCTAAAGAACAAGAAGGACAAAACCTTCCTTCTCATAGACATGACTATAACTCTCGACACCTCGACTAGGACAAAAAAATCCTAAAATACATGCCTTGTTTGGGACAACCCTGGAGGACAAAGGACAAAATGCAAGCCGTTTTTGTTTTAAAGCCATTTTAATATTGGCGACTGTAGTAGAGCAAATTCACGTAAAAGTCATTGCTTTGTAGACTTCGACTACGAACAAAATTCATCAATCAAATCCGATCAATCCGTGCAGGCAATACCCTGTTGACAGACTCACACGGAATTGTATACCCTGTTTAGGACAGACTCACACCAGATTATACACCCTGTTTAGGACAGAGAGGTCAAAAACCATACCCTGCCCAGCAGCATATCCCCGTATAGGCTATATAATGAAGTACCCCCCGGGGGAGGGTGTGTAGTATCAAGCAATCACGTGCAGCAGACATTATAGGGCTTGAAGATGTGAGCAGTAGGTTTCGAACTTCCAGTGAGTAGATTCATCGCTATGGAATATAATCAGCAGTGGAAATTTAATTCGTTCAATGAATTATAAGGGAATCCGGATTCCGCAATCCGAGAAATTTTTGCTTGTGGAATCCCGGATTGGGAACTTTTTCTTGAGGATTCCAGAATCCTGGGCTTTGGAATCCGGAATACAGCTCAAGGAATCCAAAATCATACTTCTAAAGATTAGCATCGGGAATCCAAGTTCCACTGCGCGGAGTCCAGAATCCAAGACGGTCTTGGATTCCCTTACGTGGGGCGGTTTAATGGTTCCATTGAATCATTTTTGTCTGCGGTGGTTTATTGTGTCGCGATTTGAAAAAAAAATGTGATGTAAATCAAAACCACGAAATTTTCAATTCCTTTACTTCTAGGCAGGGTGGGAACATAACGCGTTTGGAAGTCCTACAAAATTTGCAATAAGCTTCGAACAGTATTTACATTAGTATTGAACCAAATCAATACATTGAATGCCCGAGAAATCTGCTCATTCAAATGAAGTCTGCTTTTGGATGCGAACTTATTATATGTATGATTTTTTTTTAAATAAAAGCGCTCTTGCTAAATAATTTTGAATTGACAACCCCTATAATTATTTTTTCTTTTTGAAATCAGCTCTTCGATGGGAAATGACACAATAAAAAAAACGTCGTGAACTTGAGGAATCTGCTCTTAACTTATCTACAAGTCTAAAATATTACAGCTGAGAAACTGAAACACATTTTTATTTGTCAAGAAAACATGTTACGGGAAGGTTGAGTTACCATACAGGGTACCGGGTGCTACAATGATGCATGGCGAAAGGTAGCGAAAAATAGAGACACCATGTACCACAGGAACTCCAGTTATTTATTCGATATCTTTAGAAACGCCATTTCACATGATTTCATTTTGAAATATAAAAATCTGTTAGTAGTAGTTAATTGTTGATTGTCAAACAGGTATTTTCCCGGTTTTACGTGAAAGAGCCATTTTCTCGTTATGGACATTCAAACTTTTTACATTAGCCAGTGCTTCAGTTTTTTCGTAAACTTGAAAACAAGTGAATGCAATTTTTCTTTACAATAAATGTCGTAGCAATGAACAACGGCGTTTCATTATACTTGACAAGTATTATATTTAGTATCGCATCACAACTCCGAGGGACTTTTCTCAGCCAGTGTGCTTCAGTTTTAATTAATCTAAAGATTTGATCAGAAATTTTGCAACCGGAATTTTACTCATTGCATTGGAAGTAGAAGAAAGCTCAAAGAAAAGATTTACATCCGAACAATCCAGCCATGATGAGCATAAAGGGAGACTGAAGAGCCTTTCCTGATCCAAGTAATAAGAATGAATCTAGAAACGAAACCGGAAAGAACATTTATGAGATACATTGTCATTATTCACTTTGAAAGAGTCCATCATTTAAGTCACGTGATACAGTGATCTCACCTTTCGACTATTCCCATTTTAAATCCCTCCTTTCATTGGATAAAAACTACTTACTAATTTTCTTACTAAGAACCTCCTTTAATAAGACTATCTCGTTCATTAATATAGCCATGAAATTTTTATGACCCTTTTAGTTCATGTATATTTTGTTCTCATAAGACTTGGTAGTGTTTTCGAAGTTGCAGAAGGTTGTACGATATCTCTCAAGACCAACCGCTTGGGATATCTGTCACAAAAGCTAAAAGACGTTTTATCGTTTTATGATCCGGCTGGTAATATGAATTCAGCGCTTGAAAATGTTCCCCAAAGCAACGTATAATATCAAAATTGTCATCAAAGTTACTATAAAACTGTAATCGTAAGCGCAGTTTTTAAGATTATAGCAACTTGCCTTCGTAACACTCATTGAACGGTCCAAGGGAGTACCCAGGAAGGCAGAGACACTGTCCATGATGACAAAAAGCATTTTCTCCACAGCTTACACCGCACTTCTCTACAAGAGAGGTTTCAAAAGATTTAATAAACCATGCACTGCAGCAAGAATGAGGGAAGTATATTGAACACGACGAATCATATAGAGATTTGAGTTAGCAGTGTGTTTTACATAAGGCGTGTGAGTAATCAATGACAGTATACTCTCTTCGCTATTGAGGGATCATAGGCCACTCCCAATGAGAGTTTACAATAACAACAATTCAAGAACTTAACTTCAGTAATTACACTGACCCGCAAGTAGCAACTGCTAATCTAGGCTGGATAAACGAACAACTGAGGGTTAATTGTTAGTAAATATATTATTACATAAACACAGAGTGAAGGAGACATCAGACGTCAGATTTCGTTTTCCATTGCCCCTTTTTCGTAAAAGTGGGTCGGTCGGTCATGTCAGGACAAATCACGGGGGGGAGGGAGATTGGGTACAACTTACCTCACCTTCTTTGAAGACCATTACCGTGAATGCGGTTTTTATTCAAACTCCAGGAAAGGTTAAGTCTATACTAAATTAAGGCTTTCTACTATCATTTACAAATTTTTAGGGCCCTTTAACGTCTCACCTAAAGTATTTTTTGCTCTATGTGCGTACAATACGTGATTTGATGATTACCTGCACATGTGCCTTGAGCTGTTTTATAATAGCCCTCCTTACACCTGCAATCATATCCACCGAGTGTATTTTCGCAGTTTGACGCTGAGTCGCAGGTGTAAGTGTTCTCCAAACATTCATCAATATCTGAAATATAACAAGAAAATGCAAATGGAATTCATCCTATTACTTTAAAGTAATTACAGAATAAAGCGTCTAAGATGGAAGAGATACTTTCTCATCAGTACGTTTTATACAATTTGTAGATATTTTTGGCACGAAAGATTTTCGATTTTAAGCCCAGCCTTATGGTCTGAAATATTGGTAACAAAAGTCCTGAGTCTTAAGAGTTATGATATAAAATATGCAAACCCTAATCTGACTGGACTAGCTAGATTTTCTACTAGTCCTCAGCTGCGAAAAACCTTCTCTGGAACAACCTCGTCCCTAGGGCTTTTTACTAAAAAAATGGGAGGGGACCTGGGGACGAGGTTGTCACTGGAAGCCACTTATTGTTTTTTTCAAACAACATTTATGGTCTTAAACTAGAGTAGCAGATGCTTGCGTGCTCATGAAAGTTACCAACAAAAGCCTCTCAAAGTTGTTGTGTGAAAGAAAGTAAAATGGATAATTCCTCTGGCATAACCGCCGATCGAATTGGGCGTGGATTTTACAAGATATTTCAGCTAATAGTTATCCCTTACGGGGATGTAGCTTGATTTGAAAGAACACTCAAATATTAAGAAAAACCGAAGCACGTAGTACCTGGAAGCTTGATTGGTGTCAATGATTGATAATGTGTTCTAAAATAGAGTGATCATTCAATAAGAGGGATCTTAACTCTATTCGTTAATAGGGCATGGAAAAGTTTGGATTGAAAGACGAATTAGTAAGGTGTAATCAATAAAACATTTAATGTTATTATCACAGAAAATACCTTATTTCGTTACTCACCTGTGCAGTTTAACGTGTGATTTTTTGAGCGAAATCCCGCTTGACAGGCGCACGAATAAGAGCCATTGGTGTTGAAGCACAAAGTGTTAGGACCACATACATGCTCCCCGCACTCATCTATGTCTGCATTATACCGAGAAATATTTTTGAAAAAGAGGCCAACATGAGGAAAATTTATTTTTTTAAATAACATATTGATCTTTTTAGCTGACATGATATAAGAAAATAATCAGTAAAGGTAAGGTCAAACGAATTTCATTATACATTAACTCCTGAATTATTATAGGTTCATCATAATCTTGATATGATTCTTGATAGCGTACCTATCCTATAAGGGAACGACCTGAGGTATATTTTTGTACTAATACTAAGTATTACTTCTGAGTAACTGAAAGCAAAGATTAAGAATATCAGGTTTTGGACAAACGTTTTGCGTTTGGGTTGCACTATTAATTCCCTGTTTAACATTTCGCCGCCTCACTGTTCTCCTCTATAAGCTGAGAATTGCAAAGAATGGACTATGTTAGACCTAAATTTCGTATTCTAAAGATTCGGGAAATTTAACGTTTACTTGTTCTTTTTTGAAAGTAGTCATTCCAATTTGCATTTTCCCGTACTGAACACGGCGATTGGAAAAAAAAATTAAAGTGTGGACTTCAGATAGAGTTAACTAAAGGGTTTTTTGTTGTTAACCTGGGCATCCCTTCGTTTCTTCAACATAGCGGTAGCCTTGAGGACAAATGCAGTCAAACATTCCTAGCATA